CCACCCAGGCGCCCCAAAACTCTTATTTTTCTTATTCAATCAATCTAACAAAATAACAACAATGTCACAAAAGTAGACAAGAATATAGAATATTTTCTTTCTTCCTTTTTTTAATGTTTATTTATGAGAGAGAAAGAGAGAAAGAGAGAGAGAGAGAGAGAGAGAGAGAGAGAGAGGCAGGGCACGAGCAGGAGAGGGGCAGAGAGAGGGGGAGACACAGAATCTGAAGCAGACTCTAGGCTCTGAGCTGTCAACACAGAGCCCAACGTGGGGCTTGAATTGACAAACTGTGAGATCATGACCTGAGCTGAAGTTGGACACTTAACCAATTGAGCCACCCAGGTGCCCCAGAATATTTTCTTTTTCTAATGCATTTTTTAATGTTTATTTTTGAGAGAGTGTGTGTGTGCATTCGTGTGCACAACAGGGAGAGGGACAGAGAGAGAGAGAGAGAGAGAAAGAGAGAGACAGGATCCAAAGCCGGTTCTGCACTGACAGCAGAGAGCCCGATGTGGGGCTTGAACTCACAAACTGTGAGATCATGACCTGAGCCAAAGTTGGATGCTCAACCAACTGAGCCACCCAGGTGCCCCAGAAATATAGAATATTTTCATGTTATGCAAAAAGAAGTAGACAGAAGTAGACATGAACATCTGTGAATGAGTCTACTGAATGTCAAATTAGATAGAATAATTATCTGTAAAAGGAATTACAGGGCAGAGAGTCACATCAGAAGCCAACTTAGAATAAGGTGAATTCCACATGATAAATGACCTCTTTCTGAATAATGATTTGATACTTCACGGTATTGAAGAATTAATATGTTTATGGATGGAAAGATATTGTAAATAAGAGGAAAGGGGTTTTTGTCTTTTTAAAAAAATTAAAACAAAATTTTTTAACGTTTATTTATTTTTGAGACAGAGAGAGACAGAGCATGAATGGGGGAGGGGCAGAGAGAGAGGGAGACACAGAATCGGAAGCAGGCTCCAGGCTCTGAGCCATCAGCCCAGAGCCCGACACGGGGCTCGAACTCACGGACCGCAAGATCGTGACCTGAGCTGAAGTCGGACACTTAACCGACTGAGCCACCCAGGCGCCCCTAAAAATTTTTTTAATAAGGAGCCTCCACGCCCAATGTGGGGCTTGAACTCATGTCATGACCCCAAGATCAAGAGTCAGATGCTCTGCTGACTGAGCCAGCCAAGTACTCCAAGTGTCTTTGTCTTTCAAAGTGATGTATTTATAGATGCAATTATATGGCTTCTAGGATTTGCTTTTAAGTAGTTCCTGGAGAATATGGGTGCAATTATACATGAAATGAGTTTAGCCATGGATTGATCCTGGAATAGATGTGTAATAGATTCATGTGGTTTATTATACTGCCTCCTCATCTTTTGTAGATGTCTGCAAATTCATATATCAATGTTTTAAAATTCTTATTTGAATAACAAATATTAGAATTTGTTTTCTATTTGGGACATTTATTTTTTCTCCTGGGCACTGTAATTTTTTCACTTTGTATCAACTGGCCTGCAATTTTCAGAGAGTATTATGTTGAAGTCTCTTTATCTTACTCTATTTCTATTATTTTTCTGAAGTCTCATTTAAAAACCCTAATGCCTTTACTGTTCAGAGTCACATCAAAGGAAAGAGGCCAGCTATGTGGACAGAAGTGGAAAATGGAGAATATGATGCCCAAGGGAATAGGGTGCCATGTCCCAGTTCTAACTTTCTTTTGATGTTGTGTTCTGGTGTCATCAAATATCACCTGTTTTTAAAAATGCATCCTTGGGGCGCCTGGGTGGCTCAGTCGTTAAGCAACCGACTTCAGCTCAGGTCATGATCTCACGGTCCGTGAGTTCGAGCCCTGCGTCGGGCTCTGTGTTGACAGCTCAGAGCCTGGAGCCTGCTTCAGTTCTGTGTCTCCCTCTCTCTCTGACCCTCCCCTGTTCATGCTCTATCTCTCTGTCTCAAAAATAAATAAACATTAAAAAAAAATTTTAAAAAAATAAATAAAAATGCATCCTTGATTTTTATCAGAAAACAAAATTTCAATTAAAAGCCAAAACACTTGGCTCAGTCAGTGGTGCATGTTACTCTTGATCTCGGGCTTCTGAGTTCAAGCCCCATGTTTTTTGTACAAATGACTTAAAAATAAAATCTGAGGTTCGCCTCGGTGGCCCAATCAGTTAAGTGTCCCGACTCTTGGTTTTGGCTCAGGTCATGATCTCAAGGTTTCGTGAGCTCAAGCCCCACGGCAGGCTCTGCACTGGCAGCGTGAAGCCTGCTTGGGATTCTCTCTCTCTCACCCTCTCTCTCTTTCCCCCTCCCCCACTTGCACTCTCTCTCTCTCTTTCTCTCAAAATAAATAAACTTAAAAAAAATAAATAATAAAGTCTTTTTAAAAATCAAAGCACTCAAACAAATACGTACATTTTTTGGGTGAGACTTCCTGACCCCTACTTCTAGACCTCAGGAATGTGTGGACCAATGATTTATTAATAGAGCACTGCCTCTTGTATGATTTTAATTTTTTCCATATTAAAGAGCATCCTTTATAATTATAGAGCGGTTGTAACCAGCAACATATGAAAAAATTTCAGAAATATGATAAGGCTGAAATCCATATCTCTAGCAAATATAAGGCAAAAGTATAATGATACTGAATTTCTTGGCATCACAAGTTTACCTTTTAACTGGTGGAGATGATACAGTTGAATACCTGCTAAATAAATAGGTAATTAGTAAATGGAAAAAATGAATTATTATGAATAATTATGAGTTTAGAAAATGTACAAGTGCTACGGTAAAATGAATAATTTGTAGGTGGTTCTGCGTAGATATAGATTATATTTGAAAATATGATGGGAAAAAAGTGCTTTGATAAAATGTGTGTAAAGGTACAAAACCAAAGAATTAAATACAGAATAAATATTTCAAGAAAATAACTTAAAATAAGATCTAAAGGAATGCACAAATAACTACCTTGCATGAAATGCCTCAATATTTTAAATAATTTGATCAACTAAATATAAGTGTGTATAAACAACATAAGTGGTAACTAAGTGGAACACAATCACATATCCTGCACTGGAAAGGGGAGGAGGAAGAACAGGAGGAATAGAAGAAAACTCAGAGAACACTAAGCAAGATAAATGTCCAAAAAAAGTTACATGTAGGTATATTTCAATTTATAGAAACTTGAAAGATAAATAAGAAAACAATCCTGAAAGAAAAAAATACCTTACCTATGGAGGAACACAGATTAAGAATTACATTCATCTTCTCAGAAACCATGCAAGTGAGTAAGAGGGAGAACAATAAAATTTTGGTAAATATTTTCAAACAAGAAAATATTTGAATCCTGGGCCAGCTGTGGCTATGGATCTGGGTGCGTTCAAGAATGGTAGTCATTCATGGAAAAGCAAAAACCTTTCTCCCTTATTTTATCAAAGTATTTTCTATGGAGGAACAGTTAGGGATTAAATTGGGCACATTTACTTCCTGGCACAGTGACAGGAAAATACCCGCTCCACAGGTGTTCTGGCTTGGAACAGGTAAAGTTTTCACTACCTGATGACTGAGTGGGGTGACAACTTCCGAAATCTCAATGGATCTGGTGCAGATGCAGAGGTCTGAGGACTATCAAAGCATTTTTAAATCTTTAAATGTCAGATTGGCATTAAGACATTAACACATTTTCATGGTGCCTGGGTGGCTCAGGTCATGGTCTTACAGTTCATGGGTTCAAGCCCCACATCTTTGTGCTGACAGCTCAGAGCCTGGAGCCTGCTTCGGATTCTGTGTCTCCCTCTCTCTCTGCCCCTCCCCCACTCACTCTCCCTCTCTCTCAAAAGAAAAAAATTAAAAATTGTTTTAAAAAGACATTAACACATTTTAATCTCTGATTAATCCTGCTGATTAAACCTGGCAATCTGAGAGAGAGAAAGAGAGCGATTGATTTGTATTTCACTAAATGGGAGATATAGTCTATCTTCTTGACACTGATCCCAGAAATTTTCTGTAGCAATGAAATACTGGTTCAGTAAAGTGCATCCTCCTCTCCAGAACCCATAATAAAGGATATGGAGGATTGCACTGGTCACAGAAAGTTTTCACAGACATACTGTCACAGCCAATCAGAGCACAATATACACAGATGTGTAAAAGGATGTCGCAGGTGCCATCAGACACCAGGTGTCTAAGCAGAAGCCAAGAGCTAAACACACTCATACCAACCATGTAAGTAGGGGAGTGAGGGCTGTGAGGGTGTACGTGTTCACTCAGGGAGAGGATTGCAGATGGGGCTGTGACAAAGAAGATGGACAAGAAATGTCAGGCAACTTTGAGCTAGGAAGGCTGGGGTGGCTCTGTGCCTCAGGAACCCTCAGAAAATATCACCACTTCATATATTTTTCTTGGTTCAGTTTCAACCACGGGGGGAGGGGAAGAAGAAAAGATGATTATGTCCATATTTCTTATGAGTTTTCTAAAGAAATATTCTACTTTTCTAAGTATCTATCTAGAAAGAAGGTCCACTTACCAAATACCTTTTCTTGCTGAGACAGTAGCTACCATGACCGCAGTCTGAGTGCAAGTGCAAAGGGAGCATCTTATCCCCACAATAAAGGCTGGGGACAATATGATCTCCTCTCTTGCTGGCAAGTGATTATCATTTCACTTGTAAGCTTAGTGACAGTGTCTGTCTGGGTAGTGGCAGTTTTCTCAGAAAGACAACTGTGAAATGTGAAAATTACTAAAAGCTAGTAGGAGCAATTTGCAATGATTAGCCAATTATATGGTCAGAGAGAGAGAGAGAGAGAGAGAGGCCAGAGAAAACACATCTCAGAAGCCTGGAAAAGACCAGGTACAAGGGACAGGTGAGAGAAGGACACTGGGGTCTAGAAAGTGAGAGAAGGAAGCTGAGAACAAGGCTGGGCTTTGTTTCTTGCCAACCTGAGGCATTTTGCTTTCCAAATGTGATTATTTTTTAATTCTTATAACTTTGCACCATGGAAGCCTGAAAGGGAGAAGAAAAGAATTGATTAGGAACAAATTGCCTGAATGTCAGAAATGAACTGGAAAAAGTGGATAGACTTTTACTCACTGCTTCAATAGGCACAGGTGAAGCATCACATGTCATTATTATTAATTTTTTTGATGTATAAGAGGTACCAGGAAAAAAAAAAAACTTGTGAAGAATCTGTCTCTATCAAGCCAGCATTACAGTTAAGAAAGATGGACAATAACAAAATATTGAATCTAAGATGACAGTTCCTTGCATGAAAAAAAAGACGGTTTGAGGGATGATCAGGGAACGAAGGAAGATGCAATATAAACTGGGTAGTAATGGAGAACCTCATTGACAAGATCATTACAGGCAGTATTTGAAAAAAGATGAATGACTAAGCTATGCAGATATGTTGTATATATTATCTAAACACAGGAAGCCACCAGTGTCCTGTCCCAGGCAAAGCCAAGTGCCAGTGCACACGGAACTAGATGTGGGGCAGAGTTTAAGGAGGCGGTCAGAGAAAAACATGGAAGAACTGTAAGGCTGTCTAGGTTTCTGTAAGAATTTTGAATTTTCTCTAAATAAAATGGGAGCCATTACAGGGTTTGACCAAAACACAGACACTATCTGCTTTGTACACTGAAAGGTTCATGTTGACTGGTGGGTGGAGACTACACTGAAAATAAAGTTAGGAAGAGGAAGAACAGTTACACACCCAATGAGGAAACCCAGGTAAAAGATGCTGGCTCTGTCCAGGCTAGTTGCAGAGAAAACAATGGAAAGTGTTCACATTGTTGACAAATTCTGAGACAGAGCAAGTAGGATATCCAGTAGGAATGGATACGGGGAGTGAAAATAAAATGAATCAAAGATAGTCCCTAGATTTGTGGGCTCTGCAACTGGGAAGATGAAGCTGGCATCATCTGAGGTCAGGAAGGCTGGCCAGAGCAGGTCACATTTCTGTGAAAAATCACACAACATAGTGAAAAATACTACCCAATTTGGATACATGTTTTACTCCTGATTTAAACCATAGGAATTGTATAGTGTCCCATTTAAATGTAATATTGTATTATGAACATCTTATCTTATAATTCAAAGTATTATCAATATGTGATTCTATTATTTTGTAAATGGTAAGGCATTGTGTTAAGCTTCTGTCTGCAGCGTCTGCCCTCATTAACCCTCTCCCTGCACAGAAACTTTCAGCCTCATTAATCTACTTGCCTTCCTGGAATATCCTATACATTTGTACTTCTGTGCATCTTCCTAACTGCTTTTCTTTTCTCATGAACACTTAGTGAACAAATGACAGGTGTGAAGCTCTATGGATGCAGCATGGGTGGAACAGACACAGAGCCTTTGCTCAAATGGACCTTGGCTGCTAGAGGAAGAGGCAAGTATCACAAAACTGATGCCTGCCCTCGATTCTTCACTGAGGCATCTCATCTATCCTTCAAGGCTACCACTAAGGACCCTTTCCTAATACCCAACAGCTTCACTAACCCTCGTTTGTCCTCGATGTTCTCATAACATTCCAATCTTCATCATTTAGTGTGGCATCATAGAAGGTTTACTTTGGCTTTCCTACCTGCAGGGCTTTGGCTAATACATCAGTGTCCCCATTGTCACAGAACTCCCAGCATGAGCAGGGGAGGGGCAGAGAGAGAGAGAGACACAGAATCTGAAGCAGGCTCCAGGCTGTCAGCATAGAGCCCAATGCAGGGCTCGAACCCATGAACCATGAGATCATGACCTGAGCCAAAGTTGGACGCTTAACCGATTGAACCACCCAGGTGCCCCAAGTGTTCGTGGTATATTAAGGAAGACAGCAAATTCCTTGCTATTCCTCCCACTGAAAAGTGACTCTATTTCAACTTACCTCAAAACTGGATGACTTGTTTGACTGAAAGAACTGGTGGATGCATTTTTTTTCATCTCTGAGAACAAGACACAAAGAGTTTGCAGCTTCTCTGTGAGCTTCTAGATACACCTGGACTTCCGTGTAAGAAGTTTGACCATGTGTATGTAAATGCTCTAGTTCAAAGTTCCTGCTGAGCCCACCTTTCCAGCCATCTATTAAGGCAGCACAGGAACGTGGGTGAATCATCCCAGGCTCCCTAAACCAACCCACCCACTACCTGAATGTCTCTAAGTATAATTTCTGTTGATACAGTGAAGAGAATTACCCAACTGAAACTTGTTCAGTTTTCTGACCCCCAAAACTGAATTAATGCACTATTTTTTTGTTTATTTATTTTGAGAGAGAATGTGTATGCGAGCAGAGGAGGGGCAGAGAGAGAATCCTAAGCAGGCTCTGTGAAGTCAGCACTAAACCCTGTATGGAGCTCGATCTCATGAACCCTGAGACCATGACCTGAGCCAAAATCAAGAATTGGATTTCTAACCAACTGAGCCACCCAGGTGTCCCCATTATTTGCTATTTTAAATCACTTAAGGGGCGCCTGGGTGGCGCAGTCGGTTAGGCGTCCGACTTCAGCCAGGTCACGATCTCGCGGTCCATGAGTTCGAGCCCCGCGTCAGGCTCTGGGCTGATGGCTCAGAGCCTGGAGCCTGTTTCCGATTCTGTGTCTCCCTCTCTCTCTGCCCCTCCCCCGTTCATGCTCTGTCTCTCTCTGTCCCAAAAATAAATAAAAAACGTTGAAAAAAAAATTAAAAAAAAAATCACTTAAGTTTGGGGTCATGTTTTTACACAACAAAAGACACCTGCAAAAGTATTTCATTCTTTTCACCCACCTAATTATTAGCTTCCTCCAAGGACAAGTAGAAGCCTCACCCTCTATTTATAAGTTCTTTCACATACTCATTCTTCCCTCTTGGGATCTGTCATGGTCCAAAGAACTCACAAAAAATGAAGAACTTATCGAAAAGGTGAGGTTCTCTCCTTAATAAATCAAGAAGAAAGAAAAATTCTAACTTGGATAAATGAAGATGTTTGAACTCTCCTCTTTTCAGTGCCCCCTTAGACCTCAACATCTTTGAATATATTCAAGATTCTCTCTCTCTCTCTCTCTCTCTGAGTGATTGGAGACCAGCCCTGGTGCCAGGTAAAAGAATCATAGGGGATGACTGTCCTTTCCTCCCCACCCTGGCAGGTGGAGCTTATCAAGACAAAAACTACTGGACAAGTCAACCAGCAGTTCAGATATCATGGTCACCTGGAGGTGAGTGTGAAGAGCTGCCCTGTGGTCTCTGACCCAGAACCTGTCTTTTGAGGATGTGCCCATGTTCATTCAAGGAAGTCGGATGGAGCCTTCTTAAAAAAAATTTTGTTAATGTTTATTTATTTTTCAGAGAGAGAGAGGGGGAGAGAGGAGACACAGAATCTGAAGCAGGTTCCAGGCTCCGAGCTGTCAGCACAGAGCCCAAAGCAGGGCTCAAACTCAAACTGTGAGCTCATGACCTGAGCCGAAGTCAGATGCTTAACCAACTGAGCCACCCAGGTGCCTCAGAGCCTTTATGTGGAAGACAGGGGTGTAAAAGAAACCCTGCTTGTGTGTCAGGCGACCTGCATTCTGGCCTCAGGTCTGACATAATTTTTATTACGTTGGGGAAGATCCTTTCCCCATTCTCCCAGAGAAAGGTATACCTCTGTGTCCCATTTTGTACAAGATGGCTAGGCTGTTGATCCTAGTGACCATTTAAACAAGCTAGTGTTTTCACACTTCATTGAAGCACAATTTAAACTGTTAAAAGTGTACCCATTTAAAATATACAATTGGGGTGCCTGGGTGGCTCAGACGGTTAAGTGCCTGACTCTTGATTTCAGCTCAGGTCATGATCTCACTGTTCATGAGTTCAAGCCCTATCTCAGGTTCTACACTGACAGCACATCACCTGCTTAGGATTCTCTCTCTCTCCCTTTCTCTCAAAATAATAAACTGAAAACAGTAATAAAATATACACTTCATTGAGTTTTGACAAATGTTTGTACCTGTTTCGTCACCACCATATATTTGGTATCAAATAAAAAAAAAAACAAAACAAAACATTACCAAGACCAATTTCAAGATTACCCCTATGTTTTTTCTAGATTTATTGTTTCAGGTCTTACATTCAAATCTTTCATCCATTTAGAACTTATTTTCATTTGTGGTATAAGACTGGTGTCCAGATTCATTCTTTTGCATGTGATTGCCCAGTTTTGCCAACATAATTTATTGGTGACTATCCTTTCTGAATTATATATTCTTGGCTTTGTCTTTATAAACAGACAAACCCATAAATGTATGGGTTTATTTCTGGGCTCCCTATTCTGTTCCATTGATATTTGTGTGTTTCTATGTCAATAATGAGTTATGAAGGCTTGCTTAATTTCAAACTCTTATATTCCTGGAGTATGGTTTCATATTTATAAAATTCTACACATTGTGTGTTTATCAGGTTAATTTCATACAATATTCTGTGATGAGGCTGTATCCTTCCAATACCTCCCCATTCTCAGAACTTCACAATCAGATAAAGGGTGTTTCGTTAAAGCACAATGACTTAAATGCTTTCTAACTAGCTAAACAGGTCACCAACTGACTTTTGCACTCTATAATCCTAAGGTCATTTCTGACCCAGTCATACCTGCATAATTTTATGATAAAACATCAACATAAAGTTATACCTTTGCCTGATGACAGTTAATGGATACTGTTAAGCAATGAAGCCACAGTAAATAAAGCAGTTTACTTACCAACACTGATCCTACCATGTCACACAGAGGGAGAAGCTTCATAAAGTGAGCCCTCACTAACTTGCTTTATGTCTTTCTCAATCATTCATTTCTCTGCATGTCTGTTCCTCTATCCATTTTCTATTGTTCCTGTAATAGATTACTACAAACTCAGAGGTTAAAACACTGCATACGTATCATCGCACAGTTTCTGTAGACAATATATAGTAGGATCTTGCTTTGGGGCCCATTGTGAAAATCTTTTAATTAGTTTTCTACCATTCAAAGTGATTATTGATATAGTTAGATTAACATATACCATATT